CATACTTTAGACATGTAATCAGGGGAGACCAGGCCCTGGGGAAGGACATCGTGCTCGGTAAGTTAGAGGGGAAGCGGAGAAGAGAAAGGCCCTTGATGAGATAACATGGACACAGTGGCTGCAACAGCGGGCTCGAGCTTGGGAACAGTTGTGAGGATGGCACAGGATCAGGCAGTGCTTCCTTCTGGTGCGCACAGGGTCACGATAAGTCAGAGCCGACTCGATGGATGGTACCTGACTACAACAACATGATCACATTATAAAAAGAATATAAAAGAAAAAATTGGTGGAAATATTTTCTTATATATTTGTGTTCCTGAATAATTCATCTTGGACTCTTTTTAAAAAAAACTAAATGTAAAGGATGATATCCAGAATCATTTTAGCTACCCTCTTACTGTGTGGCCTAGAAGTCATTCAAAGTCTACACAGATGTTTCTTTTCCTATGAAATAAAGCATTCCTGGACTTGGAGCACTGCTATTGCAATGCGTCCTATATTTAAATGTCTGTCTTCAGTGTCCTGCTAGAGAGGCACTGAAGTGACTGCCTCCCAGAGGAGGTGAACACTCCAGGCTCTTGTAAATTATGATTGTTGGTTTCAAGAGTGTTCATTCTCTGGGAGGCAAGTTGGGAAAGTGGCTACAACACGAAACGTGTTTTCTCAGCCTTTGCAGTGAATCAAATTCCTAAAACATTTTGTAATCAAATATTTTTATCAAGTGGCTAACACACAGTTTACTAATGTTTCTTTTCTCTTTCACTGTCTGCAAATGGACAATTCTAATTGCATCTATCATGGAATCTTACTCATGTGAGAAGCAAAAATGAGTATTTAAGCACTTTGATAGAAAACTCTCTAACATGTATACAGCATTATCTTGTCTTGTATAAACAGAAACTATTTGCGTGTAATCCAAATGTAATCCAAATGTTCCTGTGTGAACATTTTCCTCCCCTTTATTCAACAAATATGTACTAAAATCTAAATCGGAGCCAAGTACTATGCTGAGCCGTGAGTGTTTAATACCTTCATTTGAAGACATATTACCACCAAAGATTTCTTACTATAGATTATCTAACATGACTATTTTTTATTTTTCCATTAGATATTAAATTTGGAGTCCTGAGTGATGATAAGGCAGGGTTTCTGCCTAGAGCATCAGATTTGGTGAGCAATTCAGATTGTCACATGCTTAGTCAGTTAAGCGCTGAGTCAGCCATGCCCCAGACCAGCCGTTTTACTTAACTAGACACGGGCACTCTCCCAAGAAATAGTTTGGAACAGTTTATGTTCCTCAAAAATCAAACTCAGTGGGCTCTGTGATTTTTGAGATCACAATAGATACTAATTTTATTTTATTATTTGGAATACAAATTGATAAAGAGCCCATATCTTTAGGGCATTCTTTTTTATTAAAAATGTGTACACTCATTTAATTTTAAAGTAATAAATATTCATTGCAAAATTCAAATTATGTTGGCAATTTGCAAAAAAATGCAAAAGTGTAATTTGCATGTCAACGTCTTTAAATATTTCTTAAATTCAGGACAGTTCAGATTTATTTTAGTAGGGAATTTTCAAAGTTAGCCTAACTTATGAGTAACTATTAGATGTAAGGAGTAATATTATAGAAATGTCGTATGATGTAAAGTGGATCTAACTTCCTACTGATGTCCTTTATAAACCAAGAGATAGTTATCTATAGATAGTGTGGACAATAGAGTGATGATTCTCCAGAGAGGTTTGATTACAAAGGCCCAACTGAATGTTCCTGCATACAAGCGAGTTCTTTGACTTCTTTTGTTTTTCCTTATTTCTACTTGGTGTGCACTTTCTAAATACAGAATCTGCACCCACCCACCCCCTTGCTCCCTGGACACTGGCCAGTTTCTTAGCACTGCCCTTGTTCATCACATGCATATTAGGTAGTTGAAAATAATGTCGCTTGGGTCAAATCTACCTTAGTCATCAAATAGATGTCTTTGCTCTTTAATACTTTAAATAGGTGTTTGTCGTGGATTTGCCCCACACAATGCATGTTGGTTTCTTAATGGCTACTTCCATGAGCAGAGATTGTAGGTCCAAGTAAAGTCACCTTTAAGTCTACGCTCAAGTCTTAAAGACATTGTGTGCTTTTATTCTGTAGAGTCTCATAAAGTTGTTTGTAACTCACACGCAGATGCCCATAACACATTGCATGTCTCACGTGGTGTAGTCATATGCTGTTGAGTTGGTTCCTGGTGTCATAGTAACCCTGTATATGATGAAATGAAACACTGCCTGATCCTGCGCCTTCCCTACATGTGTGCTATTTGCAGGTACCAGGGCAGTGTTTCTCATCGAAGGTGTTCCTCATTTTCATTTACTGTCTATTTGACCAAGCATGATGTCCTTTTTCAGGGTCTTAGCCCTCCTGATTACATGTCAAAAGTATGTGAGATGGAATCTCAACATCTTCTCTTCTTAGGAGCATTATGACTATACTTCTAAGAGGAGTCTGGTGGCATAGTAGTTATGCATTGGGCAAAGCACAAGATCAGCAGTTCCAACCCCCCAGCTGCTCCTTGGGATAAAGATGTAACTTTTTACTCGAGTGAAGAGTTACAGGCTGGGAAAGTCACAAGAGCAGTTCTGCCCTGCTCTGTAGGGTCACTGTGCGTACGCATCTACTCAATGACGGTGAATTTGGCTTGTTTTCTTTTTTCTTCTAAAATAATCTTGTTAGGTTTTCTAGCATTCCATGATATACGAAATATTCTTTACTGCCATTCAAGTGCCACAATCCTTCCCCATCTCCCTTATTCATTGTCCAGCTGGCTTGCTTGCTTTTTTCATTGGCCAGCTTTCATATACATATAAGGTAATTGACAATGCCATGGATTTAGATCGGTTGCACCTTAATCTTCCAGGTGATTTCTTTGTTCTTAAATAGGTCTTTTGAAACAGATTTACCTCTAGCAATAGACCCTTTGATTTCTTGACTGTTGTTGCTTCCACCAGCACTGACTGTTTATCAGGAGGCTTACTGGTCCCACGTGGCAGTTTTTGAGCTTTAATCTGTAGCACAGTCTTTGATCCTCATCAGTAGGTGTTTCAAGTTCTCTTCGCTTTCAACAAGCAAGGTGGCTCCACGTGCTTATCTCAGGTTGTTCAGGAGCCTTCTCCCAGTCTTCTTCCTATAGTACAGCTTCTTCTATCCAGCTTTTATACAGCTGCATTTTTCCCTAAAATGCAATGGCAAATACTATGGATTGGATCAGTGACACCATAAGGTTCAGAGTGACATCTTTGCTCTCTTCTTATTTTTTTAACATCAACAACCAAGTGACTTTTTTAGAAGTACCTCCACAGCTGTTTCTCTTTTCTTA